ACCTGGCCCTCCACCTCTATGCTCCTTGGTCACTGCTCAGATCTTTCATCCACCAACCCTGCTCCTCCTATCAACGGTGGTTGCGTGGCTTTCCTAGCTCCTCCTATCAACGGTGGTTGCGTGGCTTTCCTAGATCTCGGCTTCCATGCTGCAATGCACCAGCCAGATCCATCGTGTGTTGCGAAGGACCCACGACTCCTTGGCTGTGTCGACGCCTTGCGACAATGCGATTCCTATTGCCTTCTCCTATCGTGTGCTCGTCCGAGTCTTGTCGTTGTCAGCATTGAGGAGTCAGGACAAATTTAGGGACAAAAAGGTATTTAAAAAGACTAACAAAAGGGACAAACAAAATGACTACAACTGGCAAAGGAAATAAGGAAAAATGATAAAAGATTGATGAAAGGAAACAAATGAAGAATGAGAATGAAGGAAATAAACCCTAATTCCTTGCGACGGCAAAAAAGAGTCTAAAACTCAATTATGTGAAGGGTAAATATGGTCTCTCTTCTACATAATTTTCACAACCATAACCTAAAAAAGCAAAAAACAGGAGGTTCGCTATAATCAAATAAGTTTTTTATAAGTCAAAAATCAAGTTGCTACCATGAAAAATATATAGAAAAATGGATTGAAGGGGTCATTTTCACTTATGACGTGACAAATGTCTGCTACCTCTCGCTTTCTAGTCTCGGCAGCCTCCTTTATCTATTGTACTCCATGTGATACATCTCTACACAGTTCCCCCGTTGTTTTACAAGAAGATAAAATGTTTCCCTGTGAAAAGATATATATGATTTCCTCTTCAGTATATGCAAACTGATTTATATCCCTTCACCTCATTCATCACCCCACTAATATTAGGGACAACGATTTGCTGCCAGACGATAATCTACGTCCTCCTTCCTCCGTCTCATACATATTGGATGTAATAAAATCTTATATTATGGGACGGAGGGAGTACTTAACATATTGTCTCCTCATTTGTTTTGACGCAAGCACGTTAATTGGAAATTCACATGCGTTCCTACTGAATAATAAGGACGATGGTAGGCATCACCCTACTGATTTCTTAGGGAAACAATTGCCTCATCAACCGTCGATTACACGGCACCACATCCGGCTGATCAAAAACCCCTGCTCAGTCAACCTCCTTGCTTCACTCCGCCTCCACACGATTGCAATGCCGCACACAACATGCTTTGCAGCAGGGCTTGTAGCATGTTGGCACTAGGCTCGTAACACTCTGTTCGCAGTAGTCCATGATTGGACTCTCACATCGCAGTAGTCTCTCGCCGTCCTTGAGACGGTCAGCTTGCAGCCTCCAACACCGGCTTGGAGCTCCAGCCCTCGAAACACCATGTGCCTTGCTCACTGTTTTGCGAGTCACCGGTTGCAACATCAGCCCTTGCCGCCCAGGCCCACATTGCAGCACCCGCGGGCGCCCCTAAAACATCGGCACAGTCCTTGCAGCACCAATGACAAACCTCAAAAGCTCAGATAGTCACCACTTGCAGCAGCTCGGGACTGGCTATGCCGCACCATGCCCTACGAAGATGTATATTTGCAATAATACATAACATGTAAAAATTACCAGATATAGCATTGCCATTACAAATGGATATTGTAGGTCAAACCATTATTTGAGTATTGGCCCATTAGGCTAGTACAGATACATCAGAGCACCATTTGTGATTAAACATTGCAACATGCTTGTGTTGCATAAGGCTAATGCAAGCAGAAAAAGGATAAAACCCTAATATTATGAAAAATCGGTTAGAAATAAATGACCGTCTCCCTATTAATCCTGTAGTTGCGCCTACATACCAGCTTAAACATAACGAGAACAGAATGTATATAATATAAATAATACTCCTAAAAATCCACAGGCTTGAGGAATCACCGATAAGTATGTTTCCTAACACCACTGACACATCAAAGATATAACTGGAAGTAGATCAAGCTAAAATGGACTAAGCACAAAGGCAGGTTGTACCAAAAAATAGAAGAACTCACTTCTGGGGGCCATCGGCAATGAACATCGTCATCATACTTTTGGATTAGTACGGTGGTGGTGGGGCAGAGGTGTCATTAACATGTGTAGTTACTGTGGGAGGAACTGAACCAACTCATCAATCTGCAAACTACCATTTGTCTGCTAGAGACGTTATCTACATTTCAAGAGAATGCAGAAGTATATACTATTGGGACTTCTCCTACAGTTTGTCGAAATAAAAAGTATCTTGGGACATAGCAAGCTGAAATCATTTGATGCAGGAACAGTCAATTAGGATCCGTCTTCCAACATGGCAAACCTGAAGTCAATTTTTTGTCACACATAAATATATGCGTATTATTAGAACAACAATGCTATGTAAACTCCTAGCATGTGCATTATCAATTTAGTAAATAAGAAAGTAGTACTACTCATTCCATACTTGGTCTGGTGGAAGAATGCTTATATATTTATATGCTATAGCTGCAGTGCTAGATGAGTATGCTTATTAGATTTACGCTCCTAAAAAGGGCTTATTATTACACTGAACATTGTCTGCAAAAGGAAGTGGTAGTTCTAACACCGTATGCATTAGCAAAACAAGGTCAGACAATAACTTGCCAATTGATGTCCGGATCGTCAGTCGAGCATACAAATATGTGCTGATAGAACTAAGTAAAGTAGACCTCTGGAATATTGCACATAGCCAGAGGCATATTGTACATTAGCTTATAAATAAAAAACACAAAATAGATCCACATGTCTCTCTCTTAATATAGTAAAGCTAGATCTTATACATGTTAAAATTCTTGTAGAGCTGCACCAACTGCATATATGGAATTGTGCAGATGACTCACTTGGTGATGAATCAAGCATTGAAGCCATGGAGTAACACAAGCAACAATTCACATTACTGCATGAGCATATTTTTTTTTTGAACTGTCACCGGGGGAGGGATAGCGATCCCTCCACCTGAATTTTATTGCCAAATCACCACTAGGGGGAGGTCCTCATTTTTACAAACAGCAGCACACTCTTGGGGTGGGGTGGGGGAGACCTAACAAAGCTAAGATCAGATCACCGCGTCAACGCACGCACCCACGCCTGCATGAGCATATTTAGAATTCAAATATTATTGAAAGAAAGAATCATGAATATGAAACCACTGGTACGTACTTGATATATTTAGGCAATGAAGGAAACTATCACGTTATTAAGTCTGGTCCTTGTATTACAACAAACGAGTAGGGCCTCACCTCAGAGCGACCAAGTAGGAGTGAGGGAGCACGATTGCAGCAAAAGAAAACCAGCAATTAATGAACCTGCAACCTTAGGAATCTGATAAATTAGTGCATGTTGATTTTCTTTAGCATTATTGTGCAGCAAAAAAAGGCCAGTTAAACATATTTCACTTGAAAATGTAACAATTCCACAATCGTTTAGCAAGCTCCCCACGACTTTGCTCAATCACTTTGGCAGAGGTACATCACACTGGGGGATGAGAAATCCTGTTGGCATAACATCCTTAGTTGTCATAAGGAAAAAAAAACATAGTGAAGGAGCTCACCATTGTAATACAACCACCCTGCAGACTCAGTTGCTTGAGATTACTGGAGAAGTTGAGCACTCGAATCTACTCTCCATAAAGGATCAAAGCAAGATGCGACATTGAATCAAATCATCCAATAACTCAAGTTTTGATCCTTGCAGCTATACGTATATAGCACACATACACCTTGAACACGGTGTATGCTAATGCGATGGAACAATCTGAATAACAAAGCGGTTAGGACTGTAAATACGTGCAGCCAAGGTGATTTGCGCTGCAAAAGGGACACTGAAAGTAGAATTAGATGATATATCATGGGCATAGATCAAATCATCATTACATTAGGAGTTTAGGATGCTAATTACAGGCAAACCACATTGTCTCGACGGTGTGCCCGGTTCCATTAGGGTGCGTGACAAAAGACGCTCAGGGCGACCACAGTGGCGCTGGTTGCATTAGGCGGCGCAACAAATGACGTAGAGGGCGATCGCCGTGGCGGTTGGTCCGCTGTACGAACGTCGAACAACGCCGAGACCCACAGCAGTGGTGTCAGTTCTGTCAGGTGGCGGGCGATCGCGGCGGCGCGACATTGACGATGGGAGGGACGGAGGGAGGGCGGGAACTGGAGGTGCTGGAAAGAGGGGGAGGGGGAAGATCACGTCAGCAGTAGCGCTCGGAGGGATGCCGGTGCCGGAGGGCTGTTGGCGGCGCTGCGCAGGGCTGCGGAGGTTTTCGTAGATCGTGGCCCGTGGGGGCGTGGATACGGAGCTGTTTTTTTTTTCCTGCGCGGTTGGGATATACTACGACTGATTTGTATCTACGTGGGTTGTACGAAGTGGTAAGGGAGGTGGGGATCGAACGAGGACGAACCATCACGACGTTCGATCCCCCTTTAATAGTAGAGATTCGCCCATATGGTGCGGGTTATCCCGGACGTTTAAGACTTGTTTGAAGCGCCCGGACATTTTCTTGATTGGTGACCAGGCCGTCTATGAGGGGGTTTGAGTCGAGCGATTGAAGATGCTCTGATGAGATTGATCCCCTGGACGCCATCATCTGAATTCTGATCGACTCTCTGCCTGGATCACCACTAACTGCATGCCGACCGACGCCACATGCTTAGTCCAGTATGCAAACAAATACATGAACTGGACGTAACATGCAGTCGGAATATAAACACATTCGAAGCAGTCACGGATGCATATGTGCATACGAGTCCAAATCGAGGGAGGCAATGATCCCTGACGGGCCAGCTCGGAACCACATGCGATGCGCGGCACACCATCTCATCTCACACCGCTTTCCCATCGGAGGTGATGAGCAGCCTCGTATCACACATAATCTCCATCTATAAATACCACTCGCCATGCACACACTCACTCACACACACAGCAAGCGCACATTGCAAAGCACAATCGCAGCTTGATCGCACGCACTAGCTTGCACGCTCCATCGCAAATGGCCATGGCACCCAGAGCGCTGCTCCTCCTGGCCGTCGGGCTCGTGATTGCGGCCTCGGCGAGCGCCCACGGCGGCTACGAGGGGTCGTGCCCCAAGGACGGGCTGAAGCTGAAGGCGTGCGCGAACGTGCTGGGCCTGCTCAAGCTCAAGGTGAACGTGCCGCGCGATGAGACTTGCTGCTCGCTCCTCGACGGGCTCGTCGGCCTGGACGCAGCGCTCTGCCTCTGCACAAACATCGACGCCAATGTGCTCGGCGTCAACCTCCACCTCCCCGTCAACCTCCGCCTCGTCCTCAACAACTGCGGCAAGGTCTGCCCCACCGATTTCCGGTGCCCACCAAGCCACTGAAAGGCGTCTCGTCTGAGGATCGTGATGCTGTCTTGTCTGAATTTTTGAGCGCGGTTTTGTTTATTTCTTGGTACAATTCATGTCGCAATCTTTTGTTTTCACTTTTCTTTTTGTTTCCCTTATGATTATTAATCAAATGAAATGAAGTTGTGTTTCGTATCGTGGGGTTGAGATTTTGGCACTTGGACATGGCCATCGTTGATTTACCGGACCGAGGCTCATGCGCGCCTGAAAACAGTGAGTAACATGTTTTTTTAAGAAAATGAGGATGACCCCGGCCTCTGCATCTGGACGATGCATACAGCAATTTTATTAATTATTGACACAAGACTTTACAAAGTCATACAATAGTAAGACTAAAGCCATCGACTAAGCAACATTTGTCGCTATTCCTATCCAGTTGATGAAGGGGTGCTGAAAGTCTGGACTAATATCAAACATATCTCGCAGCCAAACCTAACATCTAAGACTTGGGGTCCCAACCTGGACGCCTGCCGGGCATGGGCACTCACCAGTCCGGCGTGCTCCTCAACCAGAACGCCTGCCCGGGTATGAGGTCGCCGCAACCACCTGCCACTAAACCATCTTCAGAGATGTATTGCTGCATTAACCTTGCCCAGTCTAGCTGCCGCCGACGCCACCACAACGCCAGGCAGCGTCACCCTCCTGCGCGAGCCCATCTCCGCTCATCAGGCGCCGAGTCTCCAATGCGCCACGCCGCCGAGATCCGCCGTCATCAATGGACAAGATGAAGCACCGCTCCTCCTCTTGTCCCCTCCAGCCAGCACTTGGTCCAAAACGATGCCCCCAAGAGGGAGAACGACATCGAAACATCGTCATCGTCCTATCCGGTAGACCCAGATCTAGGGTTTCCCCCGGAACCTCCCGATCAGGTTGACGTGACCTGCAACAACGATGCCTCGAGAAGGAAACAACGTCAGAGACGCCGCCATCGTCCGCCAAGACCGTAGTCAGGCGCGATTTTCACCGGAAGCCGTGTCATCCTGATCTCGTAGCTGGCTAGAACCGCGCGGAGTCTCACCATGAAGACGTATGCCGCTACTGGTACTCCGGTAGAGATCCTCCATACCCTCACCGGTCACTCCACGCACCGCCGACCGGCCAAGACCACGCCGCGGTGGATCTGGACGGGACGCCAGATCCGCGACCGCCGCGACCCATCTTCAGGCAGAGCCATCCACCGGTTCATCCATGGAGTGCTGCCGCCATCCATGCACGAAGGGAAGCCCATCGCCGTCCTGGACCGCTGCTCGCCACCGCACAGGCTAGGGGCACCGCCCTGCCTGCTGCCCACAGGCGCACCACAAGAGACGCCCCTGCCGCCTCAAGGGGATCCCGCTGCATTTTAGGGTCGACTTCCTTCACTTACATAGCATTGTGGGTTCCTGCCCCTTAAGCTCATGACCCTACAGGTTCACGCACAGATGTACATGACTTAAGATTTTCTGAGTCTCACATATGGTTCCGAGTGCACTACTCACCCCACAAGTTACAGGACTGAACGATAAAAAACACAAAATGTTTCTCTTACTAGTTGAATGCCCAAGGAATAACAAAATAAAGATTGAATGTTACTCTTTACTACACCTTAAGTGCTCCATGCTTATGTTATATTTTTTTTGGTAAGCTACTGGTCCCCCTACGTTGGGTGCAAGGTTCATATGGCGCTGGATGACAAGTGTAAAAGAAAATTTGTGATGTGTGAATACCACATGGATACTATGGCTAGAATTAGTCCAGATGTGTGGTTGCCTCCTCCATCTGATTGGGTTAAGATTAATGTGGACACCAGTTTTGTTGCGGCTTTGGCTCCGTTGGTGTGGGTGTTGTGGTTGGAGCTTTGGTTGGTGAGGTGATTCTCTCTACATGGCACTTCCTTCCGACATGCTCAAGTATAGAATAAGTTAAGCTCCGGGCATGTCTGGCATGACTTTACATCGGAATTACACTGCATCGCCCAATTATCATGAAAATTGATTGCTCTTTTGTGTACAATCTTCTCTCTAATGATACTTCTGACCGGCCAACCCTCCTTGATTCGAAGAAAGAAGCTCTTAGCATCACTATGCTCTTAGAAAGTTTTAATCTTGTTAAAATTAAACGACGGGCAACCACGGTGGCTCAAGAGATTACTGATTTTAGTTTGATATGCGTTATGATGGTATAATTTTGAGTAGTGTGCCAACATATGTGGTGGCTTATGCTACAAACGATTGTAAGAATATTGTTAGGAATTAATACATGGGGTGTATTTTCAAGAAAAAAATGACTAACATCCGTGTCATGTCATGTCCAAGTCCAAGGCAGTATGAAGTTGATGAGAAATCCTATGGAAATAGCTATTTTTCCTCATGAGTCTCCCAACAAAAAGAACATCGCCATAAATCATCATGGCAACATGGTTATTACAAGATAAAGCATAGCATGGTCATGCCTGCAAGCAACTCATGGAAAGAACAATTGTTCATCTTGTTCGTTTCAATGCATGAGGCATCAACTAAACTTTGGTGACCCAAGAAGACACTCAGATGTGTCTCGCGAATCTCTTGTGTGATGATTATGCTTTATCCTTGCCGGGTGATCCTGGTAAGGCCTGCAAACATATTGGGCATATGGCTCGTGTTTGTCATTTTCAATGCAATGAACTATGGACGAACCGACTTGAAAATTGGAGGCGGCAACACAAGATGACTTGGGTTTGGTGGTTCCATAGTAGTGTTGAATAATCTCAAATTTAATGGTGCCGAAGAAATCAGCTTACAAAGAGGAAAATGAAAAAAAATTATATGTCATTTACATAGGACATGCCTCGCAATAGCACCCACAAATCGTACAACAAAACCTATGGAAATGAAGGGCACAGAACTCTAAGACAATCCTTCAAGAAGGAATCGCCAATTGGATGGTACAACCAGATGTAAGACAAACGGCTATCACCCCGAAGCAAACGTTTGAACCAACACCTTTCACAAGATAACTCACGATCTAAAAAAAACTTTTTCCTGACCATGCAGCTGGGAAAATATTATGTGTCGCATGTGTCGGCAAATAGTCGGAGCTTCGCACAGCGCGCCCAAAAATGGGGCGGCCCGTTTTCCTTTTTTCGGTGTTCTGTTTCTATTTTCTTTTTCTGTCTCTTTCTTTTTTCCTGTTTCTTTTTGCCCTTCCAAGTTTTTTTTTACTTTTTCTGTAAATTCCAACTTTTCAAAAAAAATGTTTAATTTTTCATTTGTGTTCACATTTTGGAAAATTTTCCAAAATTACAAATTTTGTTCCTGTTTTAAAAAAATGTTTGGAAATTGAAAAAAAAACAGGTTACTATTTTTATAAAATCTTTACCTTTTCCAAAATTATTTGAGATTTCTAGAAGGAAAATTAAATTTTAAAAATGCTCCAAAATTGAAAAATATTACTTTTTAGTGAAATATTCGCAATTCAACATAATATTTGCGTTTTAAAAACTACACATTTTCTAAAATTGTTCTGAATGTTCAAAACATCTTCCCGTTTTCAAAAATTATTCATTAATTTCAAAAAATGTTTGTGTTTTTATAAAATATGATACTGGTGTTAAATAGATGCGGTCTTTTCTTTTCTTTTTCTTTTGATTTTAACTGCGGTCGTTATGGGTCTGCTCTTGTATGTCGTCTGCTGTTACAAGCCTGGGGTTGTAATTCTAATTAATATAACTTGTGTTAAACCTCTTCCGGCTGTGCATCCCTTGAATTTTCTTCATGCAGCGCTAACTACAATTGCAGACGGATAGAAGTTGGCTGTAAATGGGTAATAAACAGGCCTTAAAATATATTGCCGGTATAAATAATCAGAAACAGGAAACGTATTGCACTGTCATCTATGCTTTGCATGCATGGTCTTGTTGCCTAATAAGGCCGTCTGTTTCGGCTTCACTTCAACAATTGGGGTGGTGGCGCAGTTGGCTAGCGCGTAGATCTCATAGCTGAAACGTGAGCAATCCTGAGTTCGAGCCAAGCTCTGTGACGACCTGGGTCTGTCACATGTACACCTGAATCGTCAGGTGAACTGAGCATGTCTGAACCTTGGTCTTCTTTTTTGTTCACGCACCGATGGTTCAGGCTGAAACTTTTGCCGGGGTCAGCCATAAAACAGGCACTCATCAGAAAATGTACATAACCTGCGGGTTGCTGCCTATTAGTGCAACTGAAAAACAGATTCTTGGTTCGGACCATGTGCGAATTGCTCAACCAATGGCTAGAATTACCATGTTGCTACAATGTCACCGCTCTTGTGTTCTTCTTGTATCTGCCTATTGATTGAAGCATTGATCTGTCTACTACTACCTTACATTAGAACACATCTGAAAGGGTATTTGCGTGTGAAAAGCTTGAAGACTGTTAGCTTCTTTCCCTGGTTATTGCTTATGTAAGATTAGAAGAGAATGTAAAGCAAGTAGCTGATCGTTTGGCTTCCTGTGCAGGGTACGACTGGAGTTTGCTGAACTTCACTCCGGTGCATGTCACTGAAGATGTTCAGTACTCCCTCCTTCCCATAATATAAGAATGTTTTTGACACTACGTTCTTATATTATGGGACGAAGGGAGTATGATTTTAACGTGACCCAGTGTCAATGAAATCCTCTTTTAACCTATATATAAAAAAGAGTGATATGCAATAAACGAAAAATCCAGGCCTGAAAGCCTGCTTCGTATTAGCCTCCTATTGGTTACATTGTTCATTGCTACTGAGTACAATTGTGTCCCATACTTGTCGAGATCTTCTTCATGATTCAGCATCGGGTATAATTCTTTTCAGGCCCGTCCCCCGCGTCCCTCTCTGAGGTGACTCGGGGAACCCTAGCTCCCTTCGCCGTTGGCCCTCCTCCACCCTCCCTCCCTCCTCGCCGCCGCCGAGGGACATAGCCGGGCAAAGCCCAGGCAGTGCCGGCGGCGGCGGGGCCTCTCCCTGGCGCGTCTCTCTCTCTCCCTGGCGGCGGCGCGAGT